CGGGCTGACCCGCGCCGTGACTCGGCGGCCCTCGCGGCAGTGGGTTGTCCTCACGAGCTGTGCTCGCAGCGGCGGCGCAGGGCGGAGTGCCTGACGCGGAGCTGGACGGAGGAAGGTTTCCCTGTCCCACCGACCTACACGCCAGGAGGGCAAGGCCAGCTCCGATCTCAACTCTGAAGCCTTCCCCAAGCCTCTTGCCCAGAGGCCCCTCCCCCTGCCTTGCCTCCCCCTGCCCTGTCCCTGTCTCTTAAGGAGGGTTCCAGCTGTGTCTCCACACAACCAACAGGTGGAGGGTGGGGACCATCTGTGCCCCTCACAGGGCAAGCAAGCAGTGAATGGTTTTTCCGTTGACGACCACTGTGAGCCCGCCCAGGCAAGTTCCCCCGATACGGAGCAAAACTTGTGCTAGAGATCATTTGAACAAGAACGATTCGTTTCCTAAGAAGCTCGTTAGTTTTCCTCACATGGTATACTGTTATTGGGCTTTGCTGTAGACTAAGGAGAGCTCTGCCAAATCGCATAAAATGATAGTCCATGAACAGTTGTCTCATGAATTACTCGCTAAAATTTGAGTTTCTAAAAGTCACAAAAGGGGGCCGGCCTGATCCCAGGTGCGGACATGGCACCGCTTGGCACGCTATGCTGTGGCAGGCGTCCCACATATAAAGTAGAGGAAAATGGGCACAGATGTTAGCTCAGGGCCAGTCTTCCTCAGCAAAAAAGGAGGATTGGCAGCAGTTAGCTCAGGGCTAATCTTCCTCAGGAAAAAAAAAGTCACAAAAGGTATCCCTATTTCTAGTGGTATCTGATATTAAGTGGGTTTTTTATAAATGTCTGCTGAATTAAAAAGATTGCAGGTCCAAACACAATGCCACAGGAAGAACCCACTTGATATCTTCATGTGTTCAAAAAAAGTGACAGATGCTGCCAATACATTGACTAGCTTTACAGTCAATGATCAGAGAAGGACAAAGACATTTGGCAGCTTGGCAAAGCCCGTCACATTGACTGTAGACCCAAACCAGAAGGTAATGTGAAGATAACCAATAGACGTTTCAATCTAATTAGAAAATGCTTCTTAACTAACAAGATTTTAGATTAATTCTGAGTATCAGTACAGCGTGTACTCTGTATTTAAATAGCCATTAAATAGCAGCAAATAGCCATTATATTGTTTATAGTAGCTTTATCAGCAGAGCAAGTGGAAGCATGTCGATCTTCACATAATGTAGAAACGGATAGCAACAAAATCACGTGTCCAGCCCAGGGTCTTGCTGAGAGATGACCGATGTGACCAAGCGTAAGCCCTTAATTCATTACTGAAACTTCTGAAATTTTGTCCCCAAATGCCTAAATACAGATGTGCTTTTCTTGTGCTCTCAGACAGTCATGGACATATTGACCCCTCTCTGCGACCCGTCTGGGAACTAGCTTTTCTCGGCAGCTCTTACGTGATGTGGGAGAAGACAACGCGGTTTTTGCACTACTACATGGCACAGCTGAGCGGCGTGAAGCAGTGGGTAAGAAAAGCTGAAAACGAACCCGCACCGCAAGAGGTGCAACCAGTGCAGCGTTCTTAGGCTGAGTCCATGTGAATTTCTAATTTCATGGCAAGAGTTTTCATTGCATTTCATTCATTCAATGAATGTTTGAATGCCAGCAGTGGGCCCGGTGTTCCTGTAGGGACTGAGGATACAGCAGTGGACAAAAACACCATGTTGCTGTCCTCACTGATGAAGTCCAGTGAGAGAAGAGAAGACAGGGAACTAGTCACCAAGTGAATATGCACCAAACGGCGCCAGGTGCTGCAGAGAAGCGTGAAGTGGGCCAAGGGCATGCAGGGTACGGATAGAATTAATGCTTCAGTCTAGAGGGTGAGCAGAGGCGGCCCTGGAGCAGAGGCCTGAGGGAAGTGAGAGGGAGCCCGCCTCCAGCAAGGAAGAGCACTTCAGGCAGAGGGGGCCGATGGGCGGGAGAAAGGGCAGTGAGGGTGGTGTGCCAGCACAGAGTGAGCAAGGAGTGCGCGCCAGGAGAGGAGAGCAAATGGGATCAGTTCATGAGAGGCCCCGGAGGCCGTCAGGACTGCGCCCGTCACTCATTAGAGGGTGTTTAGCAGAGGCGTGACGTGACCTGACTTCCAACAGGATCATTGTGGCTGCCGTGTTGAGAAGAGTGGAGAGAGGTGGTGGAAGCAGGAAGACCAGTGAAGTATTGCAGTAATCTCGGCGAGGCCTGGGACCAGGGCGGCAGCAGGGGAGGTGGGGAGAAATGTTTGGACTTGGGATACAGTTTGACGATAGACTGATAGTATTTGCTGATGGGTTGGACATGGATATGAGAATGAGAAAAGTCAAGGATGATTCTTAGGATTTTGGCCTGAATAACTGGCAAGTGTTCATTTACTGATTGAGGAATACTACAAGAAAAACAGATTTTGGGGGAAATAGCCTGATTTGGGGCATACTAAATCCTGTAACCAAGTAAAGAATTTACATTGTCATCTGGACATAAGGGTCTCAAGTTCAGGGGAGAGGACCACGCTGGATTCACCATCACACAGGTGCTATGTAAAGCCGTGAGACGGGATGAGATCACAGAGAATGAGTGGTATATACAAAAGACAAGAAGTTATGTAAGGGTGGAGTCCTGGAACACTTCCAACTTGAGAGGGTGGAGATACGATGAGAAAACAAAGTGTTTCAAGGATGAGGTCGACTGACTGTATCAGATGCTGCTGGAGCGTCCAGATGAGGACTGAGAATTGACCATTTGATTTAGCAGGTGTAAGTCGATGGAGAGCCCGTCAAGAGCTATCTCACTGGCACAGTGTGGCAAAAGCCTGGTTGGAGTAGGTTCAGGAGAGGCTGGGAGGAGTGGACACTCCATCTCTTTCAAGGAATGCAGCCATAAAGGGAAGTAAAGAAAGGGAGGGTCTATAGCTGGAGCATGGGTAAGCACAGGGTTGAAAGGGGATTTGTTTTCCTGATGTATTTTCAGGTTGGGAGATTTAACAGCATATTTATATGTTGATGAGAAAAATCCAGTAGAGAAGGGCAAAGTAGGACTTGTAGGAAAAAGAAAGAATTGTTGGAGTTATTATCTTTGAGTGGTGAGAGGCTAAGATGGATCCAGGAGATGATCTCAGCCAGGAACACAGAGCTCCCCTGGAGGGAGGGCGGGGAAGAAGGGCACAGATGCTGGTAGCTTAGATGTCACCCTGGTAGCTTGTGCAAGTTTTATTCTAACTGCTCCGTCTTCTCAGTGAGAAATGAGGCAAAGTCATCAGCTGCGAGTGGATGAGGTGTTGGGAGTGTGGGGGGAACGCATGGACTTGAGCATCACGCAACACTGCAGGCCGCGTGAAACTTGGAGGAGGACAGTCACTCAGCTGTGTGTGCCGGCACGGAGTAGGTGGAGGGCTGGATTTAGCTGGGGTTGTAGTTTTTGTCAGGTAAGAGTGATGGAGAGAGAGGGGCATTTCCAGAGTAAACGAATCAGCTACTCTGAGGGCGGCAAGTGAATCCGACTCTAAGTTCAAGTTTCTAAAAACCATCCTCTTCATGGATGGGCGACGTGGTGGACTCACCCATGGATGGGTCATCAGTGAGTATCTTCTGAGTACAAGGATTTGCCCAGCATCAGGTCAGCATTATTAACGCCAGTAATAGTTTGGTGTGCCTTCCAAAGGCCACTAGTAAAATAGACAACTAGAAATGTAGTTTTTTTCTTTACTTATCAAAATGAAAACATTTTTTCCCCCTCATAGAGTGCTTTTTAATAGGAATTACCATTTGATCGATTGTTGCTACATTATCAGTCAGGATGCAGCACCAGTTCTTTTGCTAGATAAAAGTTTCTCTCTCTCTCATCTGCTACGATGATCATGTCCTCAGCAAGGGGCTTTGACCTTCCCTGAGAAGTATGGGGAAGATTTTTTGTTTATAGACTAGAAAATGGTGTCAAGATAATTTAGAACCAATTGTAATGAATGTGAGAGGAGAACTCAGTAGGAACAGATGCAGAGACAACACAGGGAGCAAATGAGGGTCTTTTAATGTCAGTGCGTCCCTTTCTTCTGCAGTTCTATGTGGCACAGTAGCAAGCAAACCACCAGGGCATCCATGTTCCAAACAGCAGCCCCATTTCTCTCTCGTTCTGGCCAGTCTTTGCTGCCCGTCATCTGTCCGTTAAAGTCCCTCAAGCACCCTGCAAGGGAGAAAGTGGGGACGAGTGTAACTGGAGCATCAAGAAAATCAGAATGCAGAGGGAGAATGGCCGCTAAGTAGGAGCTTTAGATTTTTTCACCCTGTGGGATTTGAGTTTTAGAAAAGTAATAGTGGACTATGCAGCTGACTTGCTGGATCACCCAAGGCAAATCCCTTCGTCTCTCGGGGCCTGTTAAATGCAGACTAGCAAATTTAGTGAAGCCCTCTAACTCACAGAAGTCTGAATCACCAGAGCAACTGGGAAATTTGGTTTCAAGGTTATAGAAAAGTATGCACAGAGTGGCCACAGAGATTTTCAAGTTCTGCTCTTCAGTGGCCACTAAGGATTCCCAAGATCTTTCAGCAAAACAAGCAACAATTTTTAAAAAGTCACTCAGATCAGAAGGTCCCCTTATCTTACTGCTGGCATATCCGAGCTGACAGATCGGCTTGAGGTACATATAAGTATCTAGACTCCCAAGCTTGTCAAAAGATTCTCCCCGTCCCCACAGCCCTTAGCCTCCATCAAAGCCCATAAATACTAAAGAGAGAAAGTGGGAGAAAGACATTCAACTAGATTTTCAAGTAACTCAGTGACAAAGCAATGCTAAGGATCCATGACTTCCGTTTCTTGATGCAGGAAACTTCCTTACCAAAGGAAATGAGAACAGAGTGAAAGGGGCAGCAGGAGATTCAAGGCGCGCGTCCAAACAAGACTTTAAATGAGACGAGCCTTCCACGTTCTGAGCTAAGATCAACCCACCCTGCTTAGCACACTGACTCTTTTTTCTTCCTCTAGGAAACAAACGATGGTGCGATTGATTTTGATTATACTGTTCTACTCCATGAATTCTCAACGCAGGTAAGACAGCACTGCATACTGAATTGTTTCTACCAGAAGGTTTTGCAGCTTATGATATTTTAGAACTCTTATTTCCTAGGAAATCATTCCCTGTCGTATTCACTTGGTCTGGTCCCCTGGCAAACCACTTACAGTGAAGTACCACTGTCAAGAGCTGCTGGCACCAGAAGACGCCTCTGGAACTGAAGAAGGATCAGCTGTGGCACCAACAGAGCTTAGTAATTTCTGAAAAGAAAAGAAAGATCTGTTTATACCAAGTTCTACACAAAATGACCATACCGAATAGCCTGAATCATTATTCTAGTAAAATAGCTAAGGCATAGGCTTTTTGATAATTTGGGAAAGACTGTGATTTCAAGTAAATACTCAAAAATTAAAAGATGTTGGGATTTTTGTTTTTCAGTGGGTTTCGCTTCGTTTTAGCTCTGGGTGCACGTGCATACTCAATCCTGTTCTTAACAGTCACCCCACAGGCTCCTCAGGGTTGCGGTCCTAAACCGTACAACCCAGTCAATTAGTACATGACACAACTGGATCAGCAAGTATTTTAACCAAACAAAAATTGAGGGTATTACCTCTAAATCTGCATGTCTCATTATTTTGAACATACTGTAGCCAACTATTTTATGTTGCTAAATTCCTTCTACCTAGTATGTAAAAAGATATATATATATTTCAACAAAAGCAAATTGTAGGGAATATATTACCTATATTATTAAGAAGAATTGTACTATTTTTTATGATTTCAAGCAAGTATTCCTTTTTAACTTGATATTTACTTTTAAATAAATGTTTATCTTTCTAAGTAAAATATTTTAAATGTGTGTGTAGATTTGTATACATAGGCAAAATTTCTGCTAAGCTGGAATTAATTGAGCTCTTAATATTGCTTAATTCAAATTTTACAAATAAAAATATGGAGTGTCTCCCAGATAAAGCCACTGTCTGCAAACGTGTTACATGGAACAGTGCTGTAACTGAAAGCATATCAGATATTTACAGTTTTCATTTATAGGGAAAACTTGCACCTACTGTTGGCCTCAGTAATTCATAAAAGCACACACAGTATGCACCGTAATCAAATTCGGTAGAGTGTCTCCCTAAGGCAGAAAGAATTGATCCAGGAAATGTGGCCATAATTTGCCTTTCAAAATTCTTATCATTTAATGGAACAGTTCTATCAGTGACGCAAGGTTCCTTGGCCGGTAATTGGTTAGTAAGCATCAGCCTTAAAATATACCAAAATATTACTTTTAAGTCTACAAGGAAATTGTAAAAGTTTATACTAAAGGAAAATTTGAAAGACATGGACTCATACAAAATAAAAATAACATGGATGATAGTTACTTTTTAGCAGATCTAGCTTATGTGTTTTTCTATTTAAAACGCCAACCTTTGCACTCCTCTTCCCAGCACCTACCTGATTGACAGGGCCGAGTATTCTGCAGCACTGGAAACTGTCTGATGTGGGCGAACATCAGATCTCCCACCTATGTGATAACGCAGAGAAAAGATTTTTTCTAAAATACTGAACAAGCTACAAAGATTAAATCATGCCAAAATGAAGTGATGATAAACTCCTCTAAGTGAAGTTCCCTAAACAGTCGTCACGGAAACTGCCAAGAGCACCATACCAGCAGATTCGCCGTCCTGTGCCCGCCAGGCAGTCTTTCAGTGTCACGTTAAGGCCTAGAAGGAGCTTCCAGCTTTCTGGAGTCTTAGCTTTGTCAAAGTCCTCATCCTCAGACAGGCGTTCTTCGTTAGTGAGCTGAGGCTCGCCAAGATCAGGCAGGGCTCTAAGGAAACCCTTTAACAGATTGGTTTTACATAATAGACGGAGTAAGGGGAATTCTACACATACAGACAAAGCACAATTACCCAGCTGACACTTACAAACCCCACAAAAGTTAAACCAATTAAAAATTTCTCAACATCCTCATTAGAACATCTTTTTTAGCACAAACTCTAAAACTGCTGACTTGATTTCACTAATACTGATTGTGCTAGCCAACAGCAAAGATAAATTACTTCATCTGCCTTGACATAAAATGAAAAATCTAAATTCCCTAAGCCCTCTTTTCATTGAGTCTAAATTCTGCTGAATCACTCTAAGCCAATGACGGTTACATACAGCATCACATTCATTTTCCTAACCTCTTTAGAACTTTCATAATTTTAAGACATAAAAAATAATACCAGGATTTCATCTGCATTGTTTGATTCTACTCATAGTTTCACTCTTCCATTCTGAATTATGACTTGTTAGAAGTTAAAGAAGTTCTTTTGAAAGTCAGTTGGAAGTTTCTGTGTTTGCCGTTGAATGACAGCCCTTCATGACATACGAGTTTATTACCCAGTTCCTCCCAGCTGACAACATCCTGTAACCTGTTCTGACCTTTCCCAGCTTTCCCAGCGCTCCAATAACCTAGTATGCTGCCCGGCGCTTAGCTGACTGGATAAATGAATGACTGCTCACAACACACTGTCCGTGAACACGAGAAACTATTCTGACGATGAGTCCAGTGTCATCTGGAGACTTTGGGCAGCAATTAAAGCTCTAATTCACGCAGTTACGGTTTTAGCAATGCAAACAGCTGCCTCTACAAGGGGATATATTCTTACGTGTCACAATTTACACCTACTGGTGGCTGCCTAGTTTCGTTGGCATCAATTTTAAGACTAATCCAGATTTCAAAAACATTAAAATATGAAAAATCCTAAAAGTTCAGAATTGATTAAACTTTAGTGATTTTACAACTAAACAATGTAAGAGTGAGCAAGGAGAGGAATAACAGAAAATTGACTGTCTTTCTGTAAAGGTAAACCTATCAAACTACGAACCAACCGCCCAAACTCTAACATCACACACAAGAGTAATACTTATTAATATAATTAAGTATAATTGGCAATAACTTAATAATATAAAAGAACTTCCATTTCCTGTCCTGGAGGTGCAGGCAATGCTGCAGTGGTCTTTAAGCACACCTGTATAGTAGAACCCCGTGGAAAACTTTCGACCCCATTTGGAGTCAGAGTAGCTAGGGCTGGCCGGCGTGTTTCTTGGCCAAGGGCCCCAGGTGGTGGTTAAATGCGGCGGGGGGCAATCAGCACAGTCCTGCCCACTGCTGCCACATTCTCCAGCACAAGTGACAACTACCCTTCTTTAAATTAGCCACCAATTTCTCTTCACAACAATAGTATTTTAAAAAGTCCTCATTTACGAATCCTCGTTAACTTCTTCCTCGTTCCAGACTTCGGCTAGTACGAGGTCTTCACCAGGTGGAAGCAGACTCGAGTCAGCAGGAGGCGGCTGTCCTGGAGCCACCGTCTGCGATCTGTTCTAGTTACTCCCACCAGCTGGGCGTGTCGTTGCCCGTGTGACGCTGGCATTGGATTAGCTATCTAGACTCTTTTCTGACACTTTCTTTTTTTTTAAAGATTGGCACCTGAGCTAACATCTGTCGCCAATCTTCTTTTTCTTCTTCTTCTTTCCCCCCAAAGCCCCCCAGTACATAGCTGTATATTCTAGCTGTAGGTCCTTCTGGTTGTGCTGTGTGGGACACCGCCTCAGCATGGCTTGATGAGCAGTGCCATGTCCACGCCCAGGATCCAAACTGGCAAACCCTGGGCCGCCGAAGTGGAGCACATGAACTCAACCACTTGGCCACGGGGCTGGCCCCTCTGACGCTATATCTTGATAGCCAGAATGTTCCGCAAGTAAAAGACACATCCAAATTCATCCATCTTAGTTCCAGCATTTCTGACTGTGGAATAGCCAGAGGAACTGTGCTAAATTCTATGAAGGTTATTTCCTCGTCAGGAACAATATTCAGAGTCATTGCGAATAGCATGAGATGCTGACGAAATGCCAAAGCCACATTTTTCAGGCTTGATGCTATTATAGCAAGACACATTCATGGGAAAAAGAGACTTGGTTTGATGAATAACTAAATTATCAATTTCAAAACTTAACGAGCTGTGTGGTCTTGGACAAGTTATTTACCTTCTCTGTGCTTCTGCTTCCTCTATTACAAAAGGGACATCATAATAGTACCTACTTTCATAAGGTTGTGAAAACTAAATTAGATAATGTGTTTAAAGCATGGTCAGCCCTCCATATACGAGGGTTCCACATCTGCGGATCCAACCAACCATAGACGGAAAGGCGTATGATGGTTGTGTCTGTACTGAACGTGTACAGACTTTTTTCTTTGTCATTATTCCCTAAACAATACAGTATAACTACTATTTACATAGTTTTTACATTGTATTAGGTATTATACGTAATCTAAAGATGACTTAAATTGTATGGGGGGGATATGTTTAGTTTATATGCAAATACTGCACCATTTTATACAAGGGACTTGAGCATCCTTTGGGTATCAGAAGGGGTCATGGAACCAATCCCTGTGGATACGAAGGACAGCTGTATTTAGCAAATGCCTTGAAAACATGTCTTCAACACTTTTTAAAAATCTTTCTTCCTAGAAGGCTTAAGTCATAAAGCCAAATCTATAAGTCAAGAAAAACAAAGGAATTTAAAAGTTATTTTATTTCTACTGTCCACAAGAGAAAGGACTAGGATGTTATCTATCACATCAGATGATTTTTTTGGATGAAGCAATTCGGAACAGCATGGTAAAAGTACCTGGGAAAGTCCACCTCATTCTAGGAAAAAAAGCTTAACATTTGTTCTTTCACACTCTCCATGAATACAATATATGATAAATTCCAACAGACTCAAATTCAACTAGAATTTACTACGTGAATGAAACTGACTGGTCAGCAACTCTTTAAACTCTATTTTCTTTTTAGAGCCGCAGAGACATTCAGAAGAACAGAGACAAGAAGAGCATGCGCAAGGGGCTGTTCTTCGTTTCACAGGTCTGCAAGGAAGGCAGTTATAAATTTGGACAAGTCACAAATTGAAGCAGTTGGTTATATATAAAACAGCTAGAAATTTAGCTAGCATTTTACTATCCCAATGAAGAATCTGAAAAACATCCTCCATTAAGAACACATGGAATCCACTCGAACAAAAAAGGCTGCTCATTAAAAGATGACACTCCAGGGCCAGCCCGGTGACCTAGCGGTTAAGTCTGGTGGCTCCACTCTGGTGGCCTGGGTTCAGTTCCCGGGTGCAGACCTACATCACTTGTCAGCAGCCATGCTGTGGTGGCAATCCACATACAAAATAGAGGAAGACTGGCATGGATGCTAGCTCAGGGCAAATCTTCCTCAGCACAAAAAAAAAAAAGGACACTGCAAGAAGCATCATGATTTATGCAATTCACTTTCAAGTATTCAGCAAAACAATAATTAAAAAAAAATTTTTAAATAAAGAGATAGGTAGGCAAATGATAGACAAACAGATAAAGCAAATATGACAAAACAAATTACTATCTGATAAACTGTTAACAAGATTGTTTGTTGTTTAGATAGAAGATACATGCTGTTATTTATACTGCTTGTTTCAGCTTTTCTATATGTTGAAAATTCTTATGATAAAAATTTTGGAATGGAAGTTTACATATATTCTAAGCTCAGAAGTATAACTGAAATTAGTCTCTTCTCCCCTTAGATAAATATTAAATATATTTCAGTAATAATCATATTTTATGAGGTTTTTCAATGAACCATAAAACCAATCGAGTTGAGATATACATAGAATTATCTTTGAATATAATAGAAGCTCCTAAACAAAACAGGAAGGGCTTCTAAAATTTATTTCAGCTTGAATCCATTCCGCTGGAATCCGTTAAAGTATCTAAACCTTGCAGATTCAGTTTGTCAACTTAAAGTGAGAAAGGTTAGTTCTTGGCTTTTCCTTTTTTTACAGGAAGTTGACCTGTAGCTTCCAAATACTTATTAACGAGGCCTTCTTGTGTGGACGGTGAACACGGCTGATATCTGCAGTACTCCATTGTGTATTCTCCCTTTCCCTAGGAGTGTAAAAAAAAAAGGAGAGATTTTCTTTCTTTCTTTTTTTTTAACAACTATCAAAGTCATGCAAAGAGAAGATTTCATAAATTTGATCATTTTGTAGGGTGGTCTCTTGAAGGGCAAGAAGTAAAGTTTAAATGCTTGCTTACCTCTGTGCATGACCTAAGTTCAGTGGAATAACCAAACATATCATTTAGAGGGACCTGAAAACAAGCAGTGACATTTCAGCATTGCTTATGGAAGAATATTTGAGAAAAACAGAAAAGCCTTAGCCACTTAATTCCTTTAGACTCACATTTCTACTAAGTACTCTGGCTTAAAAGAATTAACAGCCAAAGAGAAACATTTTTGTTTTACTGAAAGTAGAGACCTTATCTGAAAATAATTTCATTTGACAGTCACAAGTGGAAAGCAGATCTTTGAGTTTCAGAGTGGCGGCCACCGACAGCCTTCCCTCATCCCCACCCACTCTCTGGCTGCAGCTCAGGCATTCAGAAGTGTTTCTTCTGTGAAAACGTTAATACAACCTTCCTTTGGACACTTCAGTGATACGCTGATAGCTGTATCTTCTAGGAGGCTTTCTATAATGTGATAAACCCTTGCTCCCAAGATTTAAGTCAAGCAAGGTACATTTTAGCAAAGCAATGAAATATTTCCCAATAAATGAGAAAGAACATAATAAAGCAGTTACGCAAATAAAGCTATAACGAGAAAGAAAGGTTAACTATAAATCTAAGAAAATGACATATTCACAAAAGGCCTCAATGAAATGAATCTTATTTTTAGCTTTTGCACTTAAGAGTTGTTCTAACAGCAAATTACAGAAATTGCCACACATACATGAGACACAAATCCAACACTCAAACAGCCAGGGCAATGTGTCGACTTGCTCTACAATCTCCAAAAACTAAAGCTAACTCTGATTCCCTCTTGTGGTTAATAAGAGCAAGATTGTCAGTGAGAACAGTACTTACGTCTGCATATAACGTGAAATAGTCCTCAATTCCATCTTGTCCGGTGATTACCCCATGGCGCCGGTTAATTCCTGCAATCACCGATCCCTGAAATTCATTTGGGGCTATAACCTCCACAGACATAATAGGCTCAAGGACACATAATGTTGCATTTGCCAAGGCTGGATTTTAAAAAAATAAATAAATTAGTTTATTCATCTTTAAACAAACTGGGACTCTTTTCTATCTAGATCCACAAAAGGGAGCTGGATGCTGCTCTCCCAAGGTCTGCACACCAACGATGAGGTTACAATTTCTGATGCGCCTCAGTTCCTAGCAGCAGGAACAGTTACTCTTCCAAATGCAAGTTCCAATAAGATAACACTTCATTCTAGTAAGAGTACTTCCATTACCATATTTTTATCCTTAAAATCATTAAGCTGCAGAGAATAATATGAAAGGGGTCTTAAAAAACATTCGATCAAGTCCTTTACCATCTAAATTATTGAGCTGAGGGTAACTTATTCTCTCCTGAAAACCTTCAGGAGAAAAGACACAAACTGTTAAATCTTTGACCAGGGCAAACCCATCTTTTCTTGTTGGTTCCTGGCAGACAGTTATTTTGAACTGTAAGACAACAACTTTTTATCATGGGCGCGAGTGGGGCTGAGGGCACCGTCATATACTTGGAGATGATAATCAAGTCATGCCTGAGATCGGTCTTTCCTTGTCTACACTGAACAATTTCAACACCGGATAGAGAATTAGAAACCCAACTTTCTAGTTTCTGCTCTGCCCTCTAACAAAGTTATATGCCTTTTGGAAAAACACCATCTGTTCAATCTCAAGTTTCCTCACCTACAAAACAAAGACATTGTGTCTAATAAACCCAAATAGCAATCATTCTTGTATATTCTTAAAGTACTTCTAATGACACTATTAGCTTAAGTATAATTATCAGAACAGCCCATTTAACATATTTGCATTCCTTTGAAATATTTTCTAATTCAAATCGTATCCTAGCTCAGACCTACCTGTGACCAATTAGTCCTAATTAGTGAATTTTGTTCCAAAAAGAGGAATAACTGAACTTTGCAGGCTCCTAAGCTTCATGAGCTGCCGCCCTGCAGAACCTGCGCATTCCTCTAAAGCAGCACACTGACAACCCTAGACTCTAGCTACAGCTCTCCTGCTTGGAACTTCTTGGGTTATCACAAGGGCAGGGCTTCCTGGGCTCTAACGAACGCAATTAATATAGACGAAGGCAGCCAGAGAGGGGGACGCCAGCAGACACACGCAGATCTAGTTGTCCCATTGTCCAGTCTTCTCAGCAGGTCAGCCATCTAGGAGAGCTGGACTGCGAAGGGGTCAGATTTAAAGCGAAGGCAGGCGCCAAGGGCACAGTGCCCGTCACCTAACTGTGGAGGAGCCTGTTCAGTTCTCAGTCTCATGCTCCCTCACCCTGCTCCCTTCCTTCTTAAATCCACCTCCTCACTCACTTCCCAAGACTGCCCTTATCCATGCTTTCCACTAACCCCATTCCAGGTGACAAAGCCCAGAGCTAATTCACCCTGCTGTTTTTCAACAGTCACACGGCAGCCAAGTCCTAAAAACAATTTTCCCTCAAGCAGATCCACGTGGTCTGTAGCTTCGTAAGATAGGAAGTAAAAATACCAACATCATCACAGGACCTTTTGAGCCTAAAGTGGTGGGTAGAGGTGGTAATGCTTCTGTTTCAGCCCAGCAGGAAGAACGTTGCTAACACCAGGCCAGGCGCTGAAGAGGCTGTGTGAGGAGGTGGTCAAGGGCGAGGACTCCGGTCTAGGGTTTAACTCTCAGCCCTACCACTAACTAGCGTATAACCACGGGCCATTCAATTAACTGCTCTGAGTCCCAATTTTCTCAACTGTAAGGTCACTGTGAAGACAAAATATGATCATTCACGTACTCAGCATAATACAGAGCACATAACTGATCAATAAATGTTATTATGACCCCTCTGAGACATAAGGTCAGGGAATGTGTGGCAAGGCACAGTGCTAGGTCAAAGGTAATATGAAGGGAAGAGGGATTAGCATCCATTATGCCCAAATAGGTATGTGCAAGTGTTTTCAAGTACATTCTCATTTAATATTGTGGAATTAGTGTCTCTAAGCAGCCGGGGGGAAGTTCCAATGACTTCCCGATTTCCACACAGTAAGCATGGAGTAGAGCCAGGATACAAACTCAAAGCCCATCATGCAATGGGGCCAAGCGACTGGCAAACGGGGCTCTGTCGAGTTTACATGAGCTAACCATCCCTCTGGGGTAGGCCTTTAGTAGAGTGGCTTACAGGTCCCAACGTTTCTGGGGAGACCCAAGCATAGTGCTCTTTCTAAAAAACTGGCCAGAGAAAATGACGGCAACAGTCACATCCCTAAGGTGAAACATGACCAGAAAGAACATTCAATTTCACATTTCAGTTTTAGCTACATCACTGATTAATCTCAGGCACAAAGTTTAAATCGTGACTGAAAATAGTTCCAGTTTTCATCTTTTTAATGAAAAATACATGAGAATTTGGACTATTTTCCCTCCAACTCTGACAATAGAAAATAGTTGATAAGTTATAAGCTATTGTGCTACTAAGCTCATTTATTAACATTTTCACCCTAAAACTCTGATATGGCATTCAAGGGAGGTATATGCATGAAAAGCTGATTTTCTTACTGAGCTTGGCAAAAACTTCCTTTCACCTCTTTACTCTTTAGTCTTTCAGTCATGGAGAAATAAGAATCAGATGAAGAAACAGCAAAGTAATTCATTTTTCATGCTAGCACCCTGCTTATTTGTACTGTTTATCTGGCAAAACAACTCAACACTTCTCAATTCAATTATCTGGTGCTTTTCCTTTGCACACCTGCCAGGCAACTAACCATACTTAATAATATTTGTACACTTAAATAATTAAAAATTAAATGGTACATATTCACCTGTTTAGTTAATATTCACAGACATACAGACTTTTTTCATGGATATGTGTGTGTATATTATGGGCGTATACATCCATGTTTGTTTACATTTCATCTAAGAGCAATTAAAAACGATGAGGCTCATTGTTAATTGATAACTACACCAACTACCTCACTTTACATAACTTTTATCTCCAAGAAAGATATCTATTTCCAGTCAAGAACCACTATGGAACAATTGGCGATTTCTAATTTGTTTTAACTGTAGTTTTTAAAAAAAGTATCACAACGTATATACATTTATCAAATCATCACATTGTATGCTTTAAATATCTTATAATTTTATTTGTCAATTATACCTCCACAAAGCTGAAAAAAGGAATATGAAGTGATTACAACTAATTTGTCAGTTTAGATTTATTAAAGTGTTAAACACCTAGAGGGCAAGAGGCAGGTGTTTTAACCTGAATTATGCCTAACAAAGTCTTATGTTCTTTGTGATTTTATTTCCCCTTTTTCTATTAACACAGTCTTCAGACTGTGACAAGATTTCCAGATCAGAGATTCCCAATGCAGTTTTAACAGACAGCTCACATGAAGGAGATGGAGCAGTCCCTCCCCTCTCACAACTGAGAAACTAGAACACAGATCACTGCGGCTCCCATCACTGTAAGTGAGGCAGCTCACATGAAGGAGATGGAGCAGCCCCTCTCCTCTCACAACTGAGAAACTAGAACACAGATCACTGCGGCTCCCATCACTGTAAGTGAGGCAGCTCACATGAAGGAGATGGAGTAGCCCCTCCGCTCTCACAACTGAGAAACTAGAACACAGATCACTGCGGCTCCCATCACTGTAAGTGAGACAGCTCACATGAAGGAGATGGAGCAGCCCCTCTCCTTTCACAACTGAGAAACTAACACAAGTTCACTGCGGCTCCCATCACTGTAAGTGAGGCAGGTAAGGAAAATAAGGAACTAGCAACCTGCCCCAAGGAATGAGAAACATCCTCCCAACCCACTGCCCCACATCTGATCGCAGATGCAAACAGACCAAAAACAACGTCAAGTCCAAAACTCACACAGAATCAATAAAATCCTGATTTACAGAATGCTTAGGAAACGTATTACGATTTACCTAATTTTCTACTGTCCATTTTGACCCTCTTGGACAGAAATATTTCTGAAATGTTTTGAATCATCATATCCTTCCCCTGTGTAGAGACACTTCTGGGCATCCTAATGAATCACCATGTAACGGGCGTGGAAGAGACGACAGAGAGGGACCTTTCTGGCTTCGGGACACAACTCGGAAGTTCCTTTGTTAAAAAGCCTGATGTCAAACTGCTGTGTTGTCATTTGCTTTCCTCTCTTAAAAGCAATAAATCAGATGTATTTGCAGTTACTTAGGGTTCTGGTTCATCAGGGTTTTAATACACATATTACTCTGTGTGAAAAAGGTTGACAATTTTAGCAGTTTGGCAAGAGGTCTGCACTGGGAATAGGGTTTACTGAATTCTTTCAAAATACTTTGCCATTCTCAAAATGCCTAAAAGCCTATAATGTCATACATGAAAAAATTACAAATTTATGGATTTCCTGACATCTGAGTAAGTCACCAAAAATAGCACTACTGTAGTTAATGTTTCTTTAAAATTTTCTCAGAATTCTGAGCATTTCTATCTTCTCTATTAAAAATAGAACTGACAGATTATCCATTAATTTAAACATACGAAAAACATCAGATAATTTAGGAGAGAACAAAGTAGGCTTTAATTTGCAAGAAAGAGAAGACAGTAATCTATCCTCACTGTGATCTATAAATACATTTATATATTTTTAAAGATTTTA